GTATCAATACTTTTACTCAAGTACTAGAGTTGAGTACTTTGTCCACCACTGTTCATTTCTGGACATTTATGGTTTGATTTCTTTGTATGTATGGATCACTTGGGTTGTTACTGACATCTGGTGAAAATTTCATGTCATTAGCACCTCTGGTAATATATTTACTGAGAAAAATGCTGACGTGTTCAATACTTATTTTACCCGCTGTATGTGTGTGTGTTCATATTAAAACAAACACACACTTTCGCCTTTAGCAGCAGGCAAAGATTAATATGTTAAACAAAGTGTTTCGTGTGACTTCGGAACATTTTAACACTGAGAAAAAAAGGTAAATTTATTTGTTTCCCTCTTTAAAAGAATACAATTTCTGCAGACAGTCTGTTTTTGATGGTACTGAAAAACGCATGAGAGTCAGAATGTTTTCATTTGATTTCAAGTTCCTAAAAGCTGTGGCATTTCACAACACTTCATTATTAAAGCCATCCAAAAGGAAGTAGTCTGTGTGACAAAACTTCTCAAAAGCTAAAAATATGAAAAAGAACTAAAGTAATATTAGGCCAATATCTCTGTCTGTTCTTTATGTTCTAATTATGAATGCATGGGGGCAGGAGGTAATAACATTTATAGAAAGTTGTATTATGTACAATGTAATTAAGCAGGTTAATATACTTTTATCCTCTTTTTACCTGACTCCTCTGATAATTACACAACACTGTTCTAAAGAAGTCATTGTCTTTCCTTTAATATTCAATCATATGACTCCACACTTATGCCCAGACTTTGTATTAAGTTTTAATGAAGCTAAGACTACAGAGAGAATTGGATCTTTTGATTCATCAAGGTATTTGGAAGCAGAAGGCTTTGGGTTTTATTATCAAAAGGATTTAATGGAAGAGGCTCGTGGAAGGGCTTGAAAATATTGTGGTTTGGGTAGGTGATTTGGTCAAAGCCAAAAGCAGGAACTTATTCATGTGGTGTGAAGAGAAAAAAGTTAAAAAAGAAAAAGATCAAAAATACTCTCTCCTTGTCAGTAACGAAACAAGAAAATCTGCTCTGTCTGGTGTCTTTGCTGCTTAACAAGATAAGTCAAGAGAGAGAGAGAGAGAGAGAGAAAGAGACAATCTTACATAAAAAGGAAACGATGAAACAGGAAATAATAACATAAATGTGTGAATGAAGGCAGCAAGTCAAAACTGTTCACTATAAAATGTAAAAATCTTTTGCAAAACAATTGTAGCAGATGTGTCTAATTGCTGTGGAAAGAGTAGGCGCACTCTGCTCCGCTGAGAACTCAAGCTCTGTTGTGTTGTTAACGCTCTGAGGCTGGGAGAGTGGGAGTGTGCAGTGATACATGCATATAAACACAAATCATAAATCACACTGCCACTCTGACACCTCCATAGTTTCATCACAGCAATCTTAACATCCAACATCCAGAGTGTTGATGGCCTTGCCTCTGTAAGACATGATTACCTAATTGCTGGGAATATACCGCCAAAAAAGTTAAAATTACAACTACTTTTCTACCTAATGAGCGATAGCTCTCTGAGCATAAAACCTGTCCAGATGAGTCAAAACAAAGCAGATGACTTTAGTTCAACTGAGTCAGACGAACTGTGACTTCACAAGATGAATAAGAATTACAAGCATGAGTTATATTCCAGCAGGACAGCTGGTGTCCTTGTTATTGACATCCTCCTACAAGCGAAACCAGACTGTGCCATTTAGATTGCAAGTAGATAAGTAAACCACTGCAGTGCAAACACTGATTCATATAAGTCAGATGTTCAACTGAGACAGACATGAATCATTATGTTGGGGCTCTAAAGACAGGAGAGGTCATCATGCAGAAATGTGACACGGCTGAAGTCCAAAAATAAAAGATTTTCAGGGCCATAGTCAAAGTCTCACTACAGCTCCACAGCCAGCTGGAATGAACAATATTTTATAGCAATACTATTCTTATATCTTTCTAATTAACAACAGAAAACTACAACTTTC